GAGAGTGAAAGAGAGGAGAGAAGTAAAGTCATATGCTACAAAATGATGTTTCCATCAAAGATGAGCCACATGTATGATGGCGGTCCTTCACGACCACAGCATACAGCCTCGGTGTGCAGTAGGCTATGCAGTCTAGGTTTGTGTACGTGTACCCTATGACATTCGCACAGTGACAAAAATCACCGCAAGACTCATTTCTCAAAATGTATGCCTGCCTTTAAGCAATAGGATTTCTTTCTTGAGTACCAACTTTTATGGTTCTATTTAAAAGAGATTATAATTTAAAAATGTATGCACCCATCTTTTCAGAACGAGTTCTACTGTATAATGTAACGGATTCCTGAAAAATTGCTTTTGGTTTATTCAGAACTGGTTCTTAAAATACAGACATGAAACAAATGTCATCCCTACCCTTAGAGATCTGTGTGTCCGGCACAGGACACAGAGTGGAATTGCTAGAGTGAAGACTTACTGGCAACAACAGAGGGAACTCAGGGAGGAAGCGTGGGAGAGAAAGGCAGGGCTTTTGCAGGAGAATAGAGACAAGCCTTCCATGCCACCAGGGCCGAGATGCATCTGCCATATGGTGACCATATTTTCCGGATCAAAAATTGAGATACATGGCCTGACACAAGGCTTGACGATGGGACAGAATATTTGAAATCAAGGCTGTCCGTGGAAACCCAGCACATATGGCCACCATAACCATCATGGCTGTGCATACAGGGGGCATGGTTTGATCCTTAAACTAACCAAAGGCAGGACTCAGGCAGGCAATTTATATCAACGCTTGACTGCCTGTGTGTAAAATCGGTATTTCCTGACCTTGCCTATCAGCCTAGGTAAAAGCCAGGGTAGTCATTAATTTCAGACTAATCTTTTTTTTTTTAGAATTTTTTTTTTTTTTGGAGAGATTTTCACTGTAGGGCACGTGCGCTCGCCAGACAGACAGAGAGAGACTTAGAGACAGAAAGCGAGAAATCACCCCCCAGGGGGGATGGTCACGCCGCAATCCTTTCTCCTCCATTCTCCTCTCGGGATCTTGGGCACGCACGCACACGTGCCCGGCGTGAGTTTTAAGCCACCGGGTCCGGGACATGAACCGCGGTCGACTACGTGGGAGTCCAGCGACATAGCCATTACGCTAACTGCTGGTTCCCATTTCAGACTAATCTTAAACAAAGCTAGGAATGCCCAGATGTTAGAATATCAGATCTGCAAAACTCTTTAAAATCATCTAATCTAAACTTCACCTTGCCACCCCAGTGGAGAAACTGAAATTCAGAAAAGAGGTAAGATTCTTTCAAAACTATCTAGTTGAAATGGAACAGATTTGGGGCTAGATATTGTTCCTTGTACCTCATCAGAGCCCATGAATTCTGAGAAACCCAAACACACCGGCTTTGGTCCCACTGAATTGGCATTGAGTCGATTCACTCCCTGCCGGACATCCAAGGTGCCATACTCGATGGCCTTGCGCTCAGATCACTTCAGAATTTTAACGAGGCTCCCAGGTTAAATACGAGAAAGCTATGCTGTCTGAAATGCATAGGAGGTAGTTGTAGCACCAGTTGGTCCTGCCTGGGTCCCAAGGATTCTGAGTCTTCTTATATTTTGCTGATAATTCTTGGTGGATGGCAAAGCCGAGACAAAAGATGAAGGAGAAAGAGAATGGGTTGCTTACTTATGAGTATTCAAGAGAGAGTTCATCCTCCCACGGACAGTCAAAAATCAGACGTCCTTATGCCTTTCTCGAAGAAGGCATTAGACAAAATGATGAAGGAAAAGACTCTTGTTTGGGGATTCCTGCCCTATTTACCTACTCACTGGGTCTAATCCCTTTCTCAAAAGGACCCATCTGACCCTAAACTCATCCATCTCTAATCCCTGGTCTTTCTGACTAAGGCAGTGAGCTCAAGAAACATATACCGTCAAGAAATACTTAAAGCCTCCACAGCTAAAAAGTAAATAAAAATAAAAATGAAAGAACTCTTCCCGGCATGTGAGAAGGCAGCCAAAGAAGGGGCTTATTCCTCTGGGACTGACAAACATCAGCTCAAAGGTACAACAGACACCCCCCTCCCCCCCAGTGTGGGTCTCGGCTGTAGCACTATCATTTAAAACATGGTCTTTCAAAAATGGCTTGGCCAGTGCTTGGCTTGCATGTCCCTTCTGCAATTCCAGAGCAAGCCCACCTCTGGGATCCAGAGCTTCCTGTGGGCATCTGGGGCCCTGGGGCAGGCTGGTGACCACCCGCGCATTTTCTTTCTTTCCTTTTCTTTTTTCTCCTTTGCGACTCCTGGTTGTTTTTTTTTTTTTTGCTTTTCTCCTCTCTTGTTATCTTTCCTCTCTGTTCCTTTCTTTTTTCTTCTCCTACTTCCCTTTATCCCTTACTCCCTCTCTTTTCATTTCTTTCTTATTCCTTTTATTTATTCTTCCCTTGTTTTTCTGCCTTTCCCTTCTCTTCTCCTCTTGGTTTTCTTTTCATTTCTCCCATCTGGGCTGCTGACCAACAGCAGAGCAGATTAAATGTAAATTCCTCTCTGCCTAGCTGCGGCTAGAATCTAAGATGCTCTCTAACATGCTGACTCTTCTTAGACTTCATTCATACGTTCAGCATCCACCTATCTACCCCCATCTCTCCTCCCAGCCACCTGACCAGCCATGTGTCCACCCTGTCCTTCAGCTCAGATCTGCAGGCATTTCCTGGACCACATGTAAGCGCTGAGGTCATGTCACAGATGGACATGACCTAGACCTTGATGGATACACCACTCAGCCGAGGAAGCAGACTTGTAACCATTGTTTGATACGTACTTAGGAAAGGTGGGGCCTATGGTTTATTGTGTTAATCTTTAAGTGAGTAGGAGTGAGTCACTTGAAGGGGAAGACTTAGAAAACACTAAGCTGAGGGTCAGTAGAGAGATCTACCTGCTAGAAGCTGGATATTTCTTGAGTGGGAAGTGTGAAGTGGAAGTGAAGGTACCAAGACCGAAGGGCTAACACGGCTCCAAATTGGAGAGGAAATTGTACATCAATAGTTAATTCCAGTGCGTGTGAGTATGTATGTGTGTGTGTGCGTGTATGTATGTGTGTGTGTACATGACGCACATGTGTTATGTGTTGTAACCCATCCTGCCATATGGTTAAGGTGATTGACTATCCAGAATTGCCTGGGACTGAGGGGAGTCCTGGAATTCAGGACCTCCAGTTACAAACCAGCACAGTTTCAAGCAAACCAAGGCTGACTGGTCACATGATGCCCCATTGCCTGTGTAGCCGGTAAAGCGACAGCCACAGGAAGATGCCCAGTCCCAGGGCCTGCAAGTGTGTTACTTTGCTTGGCTAAAAATCCTGGCATCTATGTCAGGGATTTCAAGACAGTAAGGTGATCCTGCACTATTCAGATGGGCTCAGTGCAGTCCAGCGTCCTTATAAGGGAAACAGGGTCAGAGTCAGAGAAGGCAGAGGTCATATAGGCCACATGGCTAGACACATGCCATAAGCCAAAGAAGGCAGGAGGCCACAGAAGCTGGGCCAGACTCTCACTCAGAGCCTCCAGGAAGAATACAGGTTCTGACATCAAGATTCTAGCTCCATTATGGGCGGAAACCTTAAGAGAATACAAGTTTTTTATTTTTTATATTTTTTGTTTTTTGTTTTTTTGTTTATTTTGCTTTAGCATATTTGCACTCAGAGGCCACAGAAGCTGGGCCAGACTCTCACTCAGAGCCTCCAGGAAGAATACAGGTTCTGACATTAAGATTCTAGCTCCATTATGGACTGAAACCTTAAGAGAATACAAGTTTTTTATTTTTTATATTTTTGGCTTTTTGTTTGTTTGTTTGTTTATTTTGCTTTAGCATACTTGCACTCAGCAGAGAGAGACAACGGTGAGAAGGAAAGTGAGAAATCCCTGACCCCCAGGAGGGTCAACCAAGCTGTAATCCATTCTCCTCCCAGGATCTTGGGCACGCGCACACACACATGTGCCCAGAGTGAGTTGGAGGTCCCTGGGTCTGGGATTCAAATTGGCATCAGCCAAGTGGGAGTCCCGTGACATAACTGCCGTGCCATCTGCTGGCCCCAAAAGTGTTGTTTTAAGCCACTAATTTTCTGTACATTTGTTAGAGCAGCCGCAGGGCGCTGATGTTCTCTGCATCTCAAGGTATATATCTATCAGGGTGCAGGCTGGCTTTCTCCTGTCCATTGACACTGGGGAGATGCTGATTTCTCCAAGGTACCATCACTTCATGGTGCAAGGAGGCAAAGTGGGAAAGACCCAGAGCAAGTGAAAATACGATCCATTTGTTAATCTCCCTGGGGGGCAGGCTGGCTGGAGCAGGAATCTGGAAACTTCAGCTGAACTTCTGGTTCTGCCTGTTTTTACTTTATGAGCTTGGTCCGTGTCCTGGATGTTGGTTCTTACATATCTCTAAAATGAACTAAATAATATAGATTTATTATCCCAAATTTACAAACTATTAAAAACTGTCTTCCATGAGAGACCAGAGTCTGAGAACTAGCACCCCTAATGAATCGTGATGAGGTGTTGCAGCCCGGATGACAGGCATGCCTGGCGTACTCAGGGAGGTCTCCAGACATGAACCCACAACCTCCCCCGGTGTCAGGGTCACAGAGCATTGCACTTCACTGGTGCACCATCATCTAGCTGTATAACCTTTTAAAATGTTTTTATTTATTTATTTGTTTGTTTATTTTTAGTGTTGCTACAGGGTGCTTGTGCTCACCAGAAAGACCCAGAGAGAGAAAGAGAGAGAGGGAAAGTGAGAAATCACCTTCTTACTGTAGGGATGGCCATACCACAATCCCTTCTCTTCCATTTTTCACTTGGGATCTTGGGCATCCATTCACATGCACCTGGTGTGTTTCTTGAGCTGCTCGGTCTGGGACTCAAACCGCACAGGTCATGTGGGATCCAACTGCCTTAACTTCCATGCCACCTGCTGGCTCTAAAATGCTCTTAAATGATGGTACGTTCAGAAAGTATTTGTGACTGAGTCCAGAGCATGTTTTCAAGGGGGGAGGAACATCACCCCTACCAGAGTTAAAATCGGTTCTTGGTGGAGGGGGTGAGTCTTACACCGTCTATGTTTGAAGTGCGAGGATACCGCTGGTACATGAGCAGACAGTACATCTGTGAGATTAAAGTGTCGTGGGGTGGTGACTCGGAAAACAAAGGTCCAAAATGTCTCCTTCAGGGTACATTCATTTTAAGAAAAGTTGAGAATCCTTTGCTAGTGATATATAACCCACATTGCTATTTGTTAAAGTACTTTAGGTGGCTCAGGCAAGGTTATGGGACAGAAAAACCTCTGAGACTTTCTGGATCCAGGTACGTTGAATTCGATTCTTCTGCACAGCTGAATGGTACATGTCACTCCGACCTCTGTCTCTTCATCTGGGACAGCATGATAGAATTCTTCTTAGGTTGCTGTTGGTGCTTAACAAGCTAAGATAAATTAATATATAGCTATATAAATATTACTATATACACGGACAGAAATACACACTAGCTCAGGGCGTGGCCTTCAACGATGTGTCTCCTCTTTTCCTCCCAATCTTTCTGCTCCTCACAAAATGTCATCATGAAACCATCCCTTGGCTTCCTACCCCCACTCTCCATGTCCCCTCACTGACACATATTTTTGCCTGTGAAGTGAATCAACATATGGAAGATTCTAGCTGTATTTCATTCTTTGATTAGTGGAGTCCAAAACATGTGTGTTTGATTACTCTTGAGCCCAGGAAGTGGAATGGGTTGACCCTGTTGACCAGAGATGGCAGCAAAGCCTACAGGGTGGTCATGCTCCCCCTGTTGGTCAGTCTCAGTGTTGCTATGCGATCATAGGATTTCTGGCAACTTCCAACCAGCCAGGGTCCATATGCAGTGGGAGCTGAGGTTTGGCATAGCAGGTCATTTCGCTCAGTCTGCTTGTATTCTTACCTGATTGTCCTCATAGACACCGCCTGTGCTTCCATAGTAACTTGGTGCATATCAGTCCACCTGTGTTACTAAGGAGTCATGTGACGAGAAAATGGGGTTACGTGGCTTTTGCAGTTAGAACAAGAACTCCGTGTCATGACCTTGCGCTCTTTTAATGAAGACCCTCTGGGAGAAAATCCATGTCCAGGCTCAACAGAGGGAACCGAAAGGCCTTTGTCTGTTTGCTTTGCTATAGGGTACGTGTGATGGCCAGAGACAAAGAAAGTGAGAAATCACCCCCCAGAAGGTATGGTCATGCCAGAATTCCATCTCCTTTATTCTCTTGGACTTTGGGGCACATATGCACATGAGCTCAGCGTAATTTTCAGGCTGCCAGGTCTGGGACTCAAATCGCAGTCAGCCATATGGGATTCAGCCATCTTAACCAGCCTGCCAGTGGCTGATCTTGGAGAGGCTTTTTAAGAGCCCCTTTCCCCTTTAGTCTGGTGATCATCATGAACTGTGATTCAACACGCTTCTCTCTTTGCGTAGGCTGTCAGGAAACTCAGCAAAGTTTGTCTTACATCCCTATCATCTCTACAGAGCTTCCCCATTTCGTTTTGTATTTTGAGGGGGATGGATTTTATCTGCTGCCTTTAACTTTCCTTTCTCTGCTGTTCCTCTGTCTTCCCCAAAACTCAAAGGTGCTAACTCGCTCTCTGGGTAACTAACACCAATATCTATTCCTAGTAGGTTAGTGCTGGTCTCCCAAGTCTTCCATTTTAAACCCAGTATTGGTTTGCAGTTCTGCCTTTCCTCACTAAGGACTAATATCATGGTGAGATTGTGACCTGGAAGACCTGGCCCATGAACAACCACTGAGACCCTGCTTCATATTTGATGCCTAACTCCAGAGATTATCTATTCAAATAATGATAGAATACTGGATTAAAAAAAATGCTGCACTGAGCCAGGGAAGAAAATCCAGTTCAAATTTCAGTCAACAGGTATGTGTTGTCTTCTTAGTCTAGATGCTGTAGAAACTAAGATGAATGACTTCCAGAGCTGACAGTCTAATTGGGGTGAATGATGAGGGAAGAGTGGGTATGATACAGTCTTGTAGGTGCTGTGGTGGTAGCAAGACAAAGATGTTCTGGGAACAAGGTAATGGCCCATGTTTAGAGCTTGAGAGAGTCAGGCAATCCTTCCTGGAGGAAGTGGCATTTGAACTGAGTTTTCAAAGACATGCAATTGAGGTGTCAACAAGTGGCATGGTGGTTAAGGTGCTGGACTCCCACGTGGCAAACTATGGTTCAAGTTTCAGATCCAGCCAGCAGCTTGAAAATCACACCAGGTGCATGTGCATGCATGCCAAAAATCCTGATGGGAGAATGGAAGAGAAAGGATTGTGACAGGGCCATCCCTCCTGGGAGGTGATTTCTCACTTTGTCTCTCTCTGGATCTTTCCAGTGAGTGTATTCAAGATAAGTCAAAAACCAAAAAAAAAAAAAAAAAAGACATGCAGTTGAAAACCTACATTCATATGTTGTGAACCTGTATACAAATATTTATTTACTGATACTTGGTAAAATATAGAGGTAATCAAAATGCCTTCCAGTAGGTAAATGGATAAACAAAATGTGGTATATCTGTATAATGGGATATTATTCAGAAATTTAAAAATGAATGATTGGAACCAGCAGTTAGCATAATGGCTATGTCACTGGACTCCCACGTAGTCGACCGCGGTTCGCGTCCTGGACCCGGTGGCTTAAAACTCACACCGGGCGCGTGTGCGTGCGTGCCCAAGATCCCGAGAGGAGAATGGAGGAGAAGGGATTGCGGCATGACCATCCCCTCTGGGGGGTGATTTCTTGATTTCTGTCTCTATGTCTCTCTCTGTCTGTCTGGCGAGTGCATGCGCCCTATAGCAAAAAACCTCTCAAAAAAACCCAAAATGAATGATTGAACCTGCAGGTGAACTGGAGGTTAAAGTAGCTGGATCCCACATGGCTAACTGCATGGTTCAAGACCTAGACCTGGCAGCTTGAAATTCATACTGGCCGCATGTGTGTGCATGCCCAAAATCCTGAAAGGAGAATGGAAGAGAAGGGATTGCAGTGTGGACATCCCCCCTAGAAAGGTGGTCTCGCTTTCTTTCTCTCTGTCTCTCTCTGGCAAGTACACATGCCCTACAGCTAATGAATAAACAAACAAACAAAACAAAGAATGATGAAGCCACGAGAAGCCATGGAGGAGACTCAAGTGCATATGGCTAAGTGAAAGGTGCCAGTCTGAAAAGGACACCGCTGTGTGGTTCCAACTGTCTGGCACTTGGAAAGGTGAAACCACAGACATAGTGAAGAGACCAGTGGTTGCCTGGGGTTTGGTGGAAGGTAAGAAAGGACGAGGGAAAAGAGAGAGAAAAGACAGGCAGTAGTGGGAAGGAGGTCAGGGAGGAAGAACTTTCTAGTCGGTGGCTGTAGTAGAAACCAAGGTGCAGTACTGCAAAACACAGAGCCTGCCTCCACCAGGACAGGTGACATTGTGCTGGGCAAACCAAGGCACAAGGAAGGAATGGCAGGTAGGAAGCCAGGCAGTGGGTAGGCAGACTGCAGGAGCCTGGATTTTGCCCTTAGGTCAGTGGGGACTCTGGAAGAAGGTAAGTGCGGGAGTGAGATGGACATGTTTGCTGAAGAGTGGAGGACTTAACGTAAACTCTCATTACTCCTTCCAGGACAGTCAGTAAAGAGTGACACGACCAAGGCCACTTTCCATCTCCACTCTGGGTATATTCATGCCACCAGAAGTGCCGGGGTTAACAGAGCTGCCTAAAGCCAGGCAGTATGGGAGCCAACAAGGAAAACTAAAAGCATGGCACGGAAATCCTCCGTTGCAGGGTTGTAAGGCACTGCGTGTTGTGTAGAAAGGTGAATCTCTATGGCAGACCACAGTTTGGATCCCAGCCCCAGCAGCTTGAAAAACCCCTGGACATGTATGTGTGTTGGGATGGAGAAGTGAAGAAAACAGGATTGCCGGCTGACCATGCCCATGTCTCGTTTTCACGGGCAGGAACACGCACCCTCTGATGACTAAAACAGAAAGGGGCCAACTCCTGGGCCTGGTGGCTGAGGCGACTGGATCCTACGGCCAACCTCGTGGTCTCATCCCGAACCCCGCAGCCTGAGAGGCATGCATGTGTGCATGTATGCCCGGAGTCCTGAAAGGAGGGAGGAAAGGAGGAGAAAGGATTGCAGCATGACCACTCCCCTGGGGATGCTTTCTCCTTTCCCTCCGTTTCTCTCTGGCAAGTGCATGTTCATACCTTTTAGTGAAAATAAATAAATAAATATGTAAAACAAAAAAAGAGAAAGAAATCACAAGCATTTATGTGGAACCTACAAAGTGCTGGGCCATTGCACATTCAAGCTCCTCACCCCCACCCTGTAGCGACACTTCCAGTTGGGTCTTATCCTAGTTACAACGGCAAAGCCAAGGCCCAGTGCCATGAAGCATCTGCCTGAGGCCGGACGGTGAGCCCAGGCCATCAGCCCCCAAAGCCAGCACTCTCTGCACTTCCATTTGAACTGTTCTCAAGCTTCATTCCCACTCTGTTCAGTTCTTCAGATCTGAAGTGTAGCAAAGAGGCTATTTCCTAGCACACTTGACACCACTGCAGAGAGGCCTGGAGAGGCCGTCCACAGACCAGCATGCCATGACATGTACATAGACTTCTGCACCGTAATCTTGCAATAACATGCTCCTTGTTACCCGTTCATATTGGTTTCCCAAGGCTGCCCTAACACAGTGCCATAGCCAGGAGGCCTGGAGTCTGAGTCCAGGTGTCTGAAGGGCTGCTTCCTACTGGATGGCAGGAAACAGAGGGGTAAAGAGCCTCTAATTGTTTTTGTGTCTTGTGTTGTCTAAGGTGGTCCTGGGGCCCGCCTCCATCTGAGATGTGAATGGGGGGTTGAGTGTACCAACAAAGTTGTTTTCCTAAGTTGCCCTGAGTGCAGGGCATCTGTAGGCTCAAATGATTAAAGGACCCCAAGAAGGTATGGGTTTGGGTAGCTGTGAAATAGGTGTGGTTACCTGAAACGTATGTGGATGCCTGCTCATAGCAAGATTGGTGAAACGAAGTCTGAAAGGTCATACAGGGGCATGGAGGGGGGGTTTCTGAGAAGTGCTGAGGCTCTGAGGGAAAATCCCGTCCATGCTGCCCCAAGCTTTGAGTGGCTGCTAGCAATCTTGGTGTTCACTGGCTTGTGGAGACCTCGCTTTACTCTCGGCCTTCAAGCTGACATGGCCCTCTCCTTTGTGGGTCTGTTCTGGTCTGTGTGTGTCAAATCTCCCTTTGCTTTCTCTTACTGAGACATCATCCTTGGATTTAGGACCTACCTGCCTAAAGCCAAGATGGCCTCATCCAGAGATTGCTAACGGAATGACCTCGGCAAAGATGCTGTCTACAGACGAGGTCACATGCACAGGTAGCAGGGGTTAGCACTTGGTCATATCTCTGGGGTCAC